AAAAAAAAAAAAAAAAAAAAAAAAAAAAAAGTTTACTCCTTTTATTTTACAAATTCGGGAAAAATAATTTCATTCCGTTACTAAAAAAAAAAAAAGTATTATTTTAAAGCACAAAATGTTATCAATCGGTTTCAACTATTTCTCTAATAAATAACCAGATTTGCAAAAACAGCAAAAAAGATTTTTTTAATTTCTATTATCTTTCATGCACACATTCGTGAAATCTCTCTCTCTCTCTCTCTCTCTCTCTCTCTCTCTCTCATCTATCAATTCGTTTTTCGCTTATCTCAAACATATTATACCTAATTCAAATTAATTGGATTTTTTTAATCCTCGAGCACGATTCGAGGCATCTCATTCATGTCCTAGATTCATGCACGTGTATAATATATGCATGTACATACATAAATACATATACATGTATGTATGTTTATACGCGCGTGTGAGGCGGATCATGATAAAAGTGGTCAATTGAAAAGATTGACATATCCTTATTAGATTAAATACACGCATTTCTTGTGTTATATGCATAGAAAAGTTGTTTTCGACTTTATCCCAATGCGCTCGTGCTGATGAGAGTTGATGAGGGGCTTTTTTCAGCGCTCTCATTACAAAATTAAAGGATCTGGAAGAGCTTCTTGAGTTCCACCATCAGTTGCCAATCTGCTTTGATAAGATCTTCCCTAAAATAGTTCTTGCATGCGTCTATGCTTTGTCGACTTATCTGTAACAGTTAAAAGGACAACAAAAAATTTAATTTTATGCTTCACCTGCATTTATAATTATAATGCTTATAATTGTGGTCGTATTTTATTATTAACACACATTAGATATTCATGTATAATCCACTCTTTAAATTCATTACTGAATGTCCCGAGTGTGGCTTCAACTTAGGTGCGATACATTATTTATGTTTCTTTCAAGCTAATATTTCTCAAAATTATAATAATATTATAATTTAATAATAATAATTATAATAAAATTATACAATTTAGGTTCGAATAATCTATGTTTAATTATAAGTTATAACAATTACAAAATAATATATATAAAATAAGTGATTTGAAATTATTCGGTGGCAGATAACAAATTTCCTTGGCAAGCAAATCCTATAAGCGGAAGCTGTTATTCTAATTGATAGCGCCAAGCCCGAGAGTTCCTTATTCGGAAGTTGTTGAACGTTAAAAGAAAAAGGGAAGCGAATTACAGGGCAGGAAAATCATGGTTTAAGATCGAAAGTAAGTTAATTTGCTCGTAATGTGCGCTTCACTGTCGTACCTCTAGCTAAATCTACACCTCGATACTTTCATATGCGTTCGTGCATATACACGTGCATACACGCTCGCGCGAGCGCAGCCTTCTAATCAAACTAAATTTGAGCACAGAGTAAAAAAAAAAAAAAAAAAACATTGATGCCTAGGGAAGCGGAAGAAGACGATGACAATGAAACACAAATTCCATTAGCCGAGGCTAAAAATAACATCGCAGAAACTTCATTTCCAGGTTCGAGCGCAGTTGTACTCGCACGCAAATCTTATTATCGGCAAGAGAGACGGGATGGGCGGACGGAACTAGTCTAGCCGTGGAAGGAAGTTGCTGGTAATGTGTAGTATACATGTGCGCATACTCCATTCATTCATTGCTGTTTTTATTCATCAACAGACAAGGAGAGATAGAGAGATAGAGTTAGAGAGATAGAGATAGAGAGAGATAGATAGAGAGAGAGAGAGAGAGAGAGAGAGAGACGATATTACGTATTTGCTCAGGTTTGCGAACGATCGACGTTATTTTTGGGTAACATCCCTATAACCGATACCAACCCCATATAAGTTTACCCAGCAAGTTTACTTAAGCGTCGAGTTCCACGTGTGAACTTTCGAAGAATAACGGGAAAATCTTCGATTATATTTATCAAACACTTTCAAGATGACGTCTCCGAAACTTAATTTCATTGAATACTGACATAAGTAACAAACTATTAATTATTTCCTTTACTCACGATATTAATTAGTTAAGAAACATTTCATGTGAAACTTACCTTTTACATAACCAATTGCTTGAAAAACTCTTTGCATTATTTGTTTAAAGTATTTGTTTACATTATTATAAAATTTATCAAAAACATGATTTCTCAATAATAATAATAATAATAATAATAATAATAATAATAATAATAATAACAACAAGAACAATAACAACAATAATACTACTAATATTACCAAAAATACTACTATATCATAATTAAATGTTTCCACACAAATGATTTATTACGATGATATTACACGTATTACGTTTGTTAAAAACAATGAATTTATCAGACCTCAATGAAGATATCAAGGATGCGGGTTGGTTTTAATAAGACTCTTACGTGTATACGTAAACGCATAATATATCGACACTTATATTTTTTCAATATTTCTACGAATGGGTTAGGATTTTCCAAACGAGAGGTTACGTGAAACGAAATAAATTTATATTGAAAGGATAAAAGACATTGGTACATTTACTAATGTATGGATGGATCTTCGTTATGAAAACCTAGGAACAAAAGAGGCGTAAAGTGACTAGTGTGGGGGGGGGGGGAATTGTAATCTTCAATTGATTAGTAGAAGCATAGTTCAGTTATTTCATTGATCTATCCTATTAAATAGTAAGGAAATACAATACAGGATAATCGGAATTTTCATTATCTCTATAAATGTTATTACAGGTAAGATATTATCTCAATTGATTACAGCAATTGTTATTATTTTTATAAAATTAATTTTCTTAGTTTAATTACATCGTCTTATCTGTTTTTATTGTTGTTTTATTTTTAAGGATTTAGTTTTATGCGCTTTCAAGTTTATACAGTTAATACAAAACTGTTCTATAATTCTTTTTATAAATAATATTTATTCATTTTCATTGTTTCTTCTATCGTATGTGAATTGAAAAAGACTGAATCACGCATGTACATAAAAATACTTTTCATTGATTTATTAAAATTTAAAACCCACATCCTTCACGTATTCTCCCTAATGCATTAAGAGATAGTTTTTTTTTTTAAGGCCAAGGGAAATTTCTTTGTGCGTAGAAGAAAAATACCGTTTCTTTTTACAATCTGAGTATTTGTTCAATTGAATTAAAGCCTCGTATAATGGACTGGAAAGTATTAAGATTAAAAATATGTTTTTAAACTGTACAATATATTGTTAGTCATCTTCATATACGAGCATCAATGAGTAATATTTTCTATTTGAAAACTTTGTCTTAAATTATGACAAAAAAAACTCTACAATAATTTATATTTTTTTACAATTTATATGCTATCTCATGCATGTTAATAAATAAAATTGCATTTGATATTAAATTAATGTTTTTGAAGATGGACTTAATCGTGAAAGGAAAGCGTTTACTAAAATTTATCATTTATGTCATTAAAATTTACATATAATGAATAATTAAACAGATAATTATTAAGTAAGTGTTGTACAAAAGTTTAATTTCACAAAGATCATTTTTCAATCATTAAGCAAGCCAAATATAGTTTAAACATTGCAGCGTAAGAGTTTTAGTTGATGATTTAGAATTAATGCTAATAGTAAGTCACAATTTTCTTTAAATTTTTCTCTCCATTTAATGTCTAAGAGATTATTGCCTATTGTTGAACGTCGATCAACGACTCATTACAAACAAAGTCAAAATCTCAAATATATCAATACTGTTATATTGTAAAAACTATTGAATACTCGAATCTTGCAGATTTAACAATAGACAACAATAGACTTGAAAGAAGAAAAAAATTCGTTAGATCGAGTATTTATTTAAGTATTTACAATTTGACAACGGAAATGGAATTATTGCCACACCCAGAACGCGGATGAAAAGAGCTTATCGATTTATTTTATTTTATTCTAATCTACACCGTTTACATCCTCACAAACGCGCGCGAGGATATACCATAATGCAATGAAGTTACGAGGCTTCGTCGAGATAGACAGATAGTTAAATAGATAGGTAGATAAAGTGACAGTGTGTGTGTGTGCGTGCGTGTGTGTGTGTGTGAGAGAGAGAGAGAGAGAGAGAGAGAGAGAATGAGGGAGTGAGAGATTAAAGATACATGCGCGTGTGTATGTAGTGCGAGAAGGCAGGTGTAGTTTAAATTTTCATGGAAAGGTTATAATTTCGTTTGGCTCTTCGATTGTAGAAAGAGACTGTAGTTGCGTTTTCAACTTGTAATGTTCCCGAGATGCTCTCGTGCCAATAGTATCGAGTGGAAAGTCCACTGACGACGCCTCATCCCCTGAAAATTATGCAATGTCGTTTCTAACCATCAGTAGACTCTCTTTGTCACCATTGACAGTGGGGCTACTATTGCTTGGTAGCCGATACCGATTGTAGAAAATTCCGAAATATTGTTTCAGACGATCATTACGACATAATCTGTTACTAAGCGAATGAAATTTGCTCTGCCCTACGTGACGATTGTTTTAATAAAAACTAGGCCACATTGCCGAACGTGATAAGGCTGTTTTAAGCAAAGGATTTAATTTAATGGATTTAATCGTAAGATTTTAATGTACAATTGTACGAAAGTTTAGCTGTTTAAAATGTAATTCTATGAATCCTGGAGAGTGGCATTTGTCGATGTTTGCGACGAGCCGAAGTTTATTATTAAATTAAATATTCTTTTAGCGTATAAATAATTTATTTATTACTATTATCGCGGCCAGATAAAGCAAGTGAAATTATTATGTAATATTAATGAAACATTGTCATTTCTACTATTGAAATTCCAATATTTATAACATTGTCTATGTTAAATGTAGGACTCGTTAGACTTACAAAATTGGCAAGTGGAAGGGGGGGGGCGGTGGCTGGCGAAGCCCTTGTTTACGATAAAATTCTTCTTCACAATTTTTATGACTTATGGAAATTATATAGGAAGAGGCAATGTTGTAAGTTCCTGTAAGATACAGCGGGTACGCTCCCGGCGCTTTACAGTACAAATGTAGTTGAGCAAATATCGGATAAAAAAAAAGAAGCTGTAGGCCAAAATGAGCGGAAGGTAGATTAGCAATAGAATTTTGAAAAAAAATCTCAACTTCTAGAGGCTGGTCTTTATTAGGCACTGACTTGCGAAAATCCTAAATCTGCTTCCTCCCCCCTCCCCCAGACCATCCTACCAAAAACCGCCGTTACGACCACCACCATTCCACCCTTTTGATGTACATGAAGGCGGAACATCGGGAAAGGAGTTTGTAAGTGAAGGGGAGCAAAGGCGTGACGAAAGAGCGACTTGGTGGTTAAGGATGGAAAAGTGTCGCCAAAGAGCGAGAAGCAAAGTCTGGTTGTCGACGTACGCTCGCTTCGTCGGCATTTCCCGCAGTATCTCGTGAAAACGAGCCTTCGCAATCTGGTCCCATTGACGAAAGAAGGAGCCTCCCTCTGTTGTAACAGTTGTTGGCGCAGGCGCGCGTCTCTGTGTGTGACTCCGCTACGTGTGCGAGAGCGGCCCGACCGGAAGTCCAGCTTCATTCATGAATCTGCCACAATGGCAGATTGTGCGTGCATACGGCCGAGAATGCTTTTCCCTTTCCCTCTCGCCACGCCGCTCCTCCGTCATTCTTTCGCGTACGCAGGCGCACACGCGCAGTCGCGCGCATTATATAGGCATGTGCCCACCGGACGTGTTCGATGGAGGTCTTTCTCCTCTCTCGCTCTACACCCCACCCTCCCTCC